AAAAAAAAAAAAAAAAAAAAATGTATGTCATATTTACGAAAACTGTATTAAATAACATTAAAAGTACTTTTGAATAAACTTATATTTTCTTTTAATATCTCAGAATTATCTTGTCCCCTATAGGGACATGTATTCTCATGTCCAATGAGATCTGCAAATTGTAGACAAGCTTACAATTTTAAGGATGGCTGTATTTTTGTATGACGTAAAAATGAGCTGCGTAGGATACGGGGTGGTATAGCACTTGCCTAGCATACATGAGGTCCTGGGTTCAATTCCCAGCACTGCAAACCCTTCCCAACCCCACCTCCCAAAAGACTCAAAACCAAAATGAGCTGCCAAATATATGGATTTTGTTTTTGCCTTTTTTGTGTGTGTGTGATGCTGGGGATTGAACCCAAGGCCTTGTACACGCAAGGCAAGCACTCTACCAACTGAGCTACATTCCCATCCCCAATAGATTTTTCAATCCCAATTTGAACAAGACATTTATGAGAAAAAATTGGGGAAATCTCCAATACCAGACTGGGTATTTGATCAAGGAATTATTACTATTATTAAGGAATTATTGTTCACTCTCTTCAGATCTCAATGGTATTGTGGTTATGATAAAGAATCCTTACCTTCTAGAGGAAAACACTGCAGTAACATATGAAAAATGTTATATGATATCTAAGGTAGGAAGCTCCAGTGCACCACTATGTACCGCTGTGCCTGGCCTCTTAATAGTTTTTAACATACGACAGATTTTATCTTACCAATATATTCCCACACTCCATTTTTTGCCACAAAACAAAAAAGCCAAAAAGCTTAAGTTCTAGTTCCATGGCACCTCTTCCTTCTAGGACAAAAGATTGTTTAGTATGCATATTTTCAAATATGCAAAAACAGAGAGTAGTAAAATGACTCTGAATGTACTCATCAACCAGCTGTAACAGCTGGTTTGGGGGCTTTTTTTGGTACTGGGGATTGAACCCAGGGATACTTAACCACTAAGCCACAAACCCAGCTATTTTTATTTTAAATTTTGAGATAGGGTCTCACTAAGTTGAGGCTGGCCTTGAACTTGAAATCCTCCTACCTTAGCCTCCCAAGTCACTGGGATTATAGGTGGGCACCATCACACCTGGCGAGCTTTGTGTCTTTTATATTGTATTTGTATTAAATTTATACATAAACCTTGTTAAAACCTAACTAGTACTAGAGACTTACAAWAAAAACTGGTCCTTTGACCATAACCCCCTTCTCTTTTGTGACTATTTTTGTTCAGTCTTTTCCATTCTTGAACAATTTGGTTATCCTAGAGGCAATGGTTTCCAAGACCCACTCCTCCAACTCCTGTGGCCCTCTCTTTGGCATCTTTCTTAGTACGAAGGCTAAAATTCCAGTTATTCAATATCATAGTAAATACCAAACCTACATGATTAAACATTGTAATCCACCAGTTTTGTTTTTTTACATGTCCTTCTTTCTGGAGACCTCCTCTGCTAAGCTCTCATCTCACCAATTCCAATCTAGACTAGTATTATCTGGGCCTGTGTTCACTCATACCTGTTTTCTCAGAACTTCAGTATTCAGCAGAGTTTATTAGCTTTTTTAAAAATGTTGATTCTCATGTTCCCTGGATCCCATACCCTTTTCTTGGTTTAGACCCCATCTTCCAAAAACTTTGTAAGAATGGAAAGGTATATAAATTTTTTTGTGGGGGGTGGGTACTGGGGATTAAACTTAGGGGCACTTGATCACTGAGCCACATCCCCAGCCCTTTTTTGTCTTATGTTTAGAGACAGGAACTTACTTAGTTGCTTAGTGCCTCACTTTTTTTTGCTGAGGCTGGCTTTGAACTCATGATCCATCTGCCTCAGCCTAGCGAGCTGCTGAGATCACAGGCATACACCACATGTGGTGCATAAATTTTTAATAAATTTTATTTATTCTCATAGTTAACTGAAATATTAATAAGAATAAAATTCTAGGTTGAAAATCATTTCCCCTCAAAACATGGTTAGTTCTGCAGATTCTAATGCTGTTTAGAAAGCTGATGCCATTCTTTACCCTAATCCTTTGTTTTTTATGTAAGATGTTATTCATCTCTGGGAATATAGGCCCTGACTTACGATGGTGTGACTTATTTTTTTCTCTTATAGTGGTGTGCCTTCAGTATGATCTTTCCTAGGTCAGAGCTTTGTGGTATGATATACTCTTAAAACGCTAGGCAGGAGCAGTGATACAGTTTGAATATCCCTCTGAAAGTTCATTCCTAAACTCATATGATTATTTGGAGGTGAGGATTTTGTGAGGTAATAAGGTTTTCAGGTTAGGGTTCCCATAAACAGACTGGTGGAAAACCCCATCCCCACCTCTGGTACTAGGGATCAAACTCAGGATCTGGAGCAGTCTAGGCAAGTGCTCTACAACTGGGCTGTAACCCAATGCCTACATTGTTAAACACCTTTTTAGTTTAGTATAGCTTTTTTCCTTTGTGTACAGAAGCTATTTTTTGTATTTAAGGAAATAAGAAAGCTATCTAATTATGGCTTCACATTTCTTCAAACACTTGAGTAAGCAGATGCTGGAATATGAAGATAAAAACACCTAGCTTCAGGATCCCTGAATAATCATTTGCTTTCATCTTTCAGAAGAGCTAGTCTTCCTTGGGAACTAAATGCTATGGTGAGAGAAAAGTTTCCAAGTTTGCATTTCTCTCTCTAGTGAGCATAAGAGAATATTTTATTGTAAGATGGTGTCAGAGAAATGTTGTAGGGTCACCATATCTGTTTGAACAGAATGAAAATAATGATTTCACACAAGGTTTAAAGTTCTTGAGCCATCCTAGATGTTCATCAACAAATAAATGGATAATAAAAATGTGTTATATATACATAATGAAGTTTAGTCAATCATAAAGAAAAGTAAAATTATGTCATTTTTAGGAAAATGGATGAATTTGAATCTATTAGGTTAATGGAAGTAAGCAAACTCAAAAATCAAAAGTCATATGATTTCTCTGGTATATGGAAGCTAGAGAGGAAAAAAGAAATGAAAGGTGGGGGTGGGTATCTCAAGAAAATCAAAGGGAGATCAGTAGAACAGAGGAAATGGAACAGCAGGTAAGAGGAGGGGAGGGGGGAAAGCATCAGGAAATGACATTGACCAAATTATATTGTTATAGTGTACGCAAGTATGAATATATAATAATAGGACTTAACAAGTATGAATATATAACTATAATACACTAATAAAATATGGACTAAAATTGTGGGGGGGGGGGCTAAAAAAAAGTTCTTTGTAATGGCAGCTACAGTAGTTGATATATTTCTAAAGTGTACTCTAAATAGCTCCAAACAAAAAACCTTCCAGGAGGACAAAAGTTTATTCTAACACCTTTAGTCAATACAGAAATACTGACATATTACAAGTTAATTTCTGTGTTCTGAAATATAACTATAATAAGACTCTTATTCTAAATAGAGGTCTTCTCATCTCAAGTAAGCATTAATAAAAAGGATGTATTTGGAAGAGGCTTTTAAAAAAATATTTTTTAGTTGTAGATAGACACAATATCTTTGCTTTATGTATGTATGTATGTATGTGGTGCTGAGGATTAAACCTAGTGCCCCATGTGAGGCAAGCACTCAACCACTGAGCTATAATCCCAGTCTTTTTTTTTTTTTTTAAAGACAGGATCTTGCTAAAGTTGCTGAGGCAAGTCTCAAATTCTCAAATTCAGGATCCTTTCTGAGTAGCTGGGGTTATAGGTGGGCCCCTCTGCATCCAGCTGAGGATTTTTTAAAAAAATATTTAGTTGGTTTCTAGACTTTCTGTTGCAGGGATAATGATGGGAAGATGATTTCTACACAAACAATACTGAAATATGTACATTAATTTAAGACTTACCCTTAGAAGCAACTCTGCTAAAATACAGCCAACAGCCCACATATCCACACCTACACCATACATTCGAGCTCCAAATAGTAACTCAGGGGCCCGATACCATCTGAATGACAAAAAGAAATAATGTTCATTTGAGAATGGAATTACTAAAGACATTTCTTAGACATGAACTATCCTGGCTTGTTTTTTAAGGTTTTTTTCTTTTTTTTTTGGGGGGGGGGGGCGCTGGGGTGGGTACTGGGGATTTAACCCAGGGGCAATTTACTACTCACCTACATCCCCAGCCCTTTTTATTTTCAAACAGGGTCTCACTAAATTGCTAAGGCTGGCCTTGAACTTGCAATTCTCCTGTCTCAGCCTCCTGCACTGCTGTGATTACAAGCATATGCCACCACACAAGGCTCCTTGCCCGTTTCTAAAACCAATTCTTCATCATAACTACAAGATACCATACACACCTGCCAATTTTCAAGAAGAGTTAGTTCTCTTGCAAGCCAAGTGTGATGGCATATGCCTGTAATCCCAGCTACTCAGGAGGCTGAGGCAGGAAGATTACAAATGTAAGGCCAATCTTGGTAATTTAGCAGGACAATCACAAAATAAAAAGGACTGGGAATGTAGTTCAGAAGCTGAGCACCCCAGGTTTCAATCCCCAGAACCATAAAAAAATTAAATTAATAAATAAATAGTGATGCTTGGTGTAGAGAACTTTCATTCACACAGAAGGTTACAGAACCAAGAAGGACAATATAATAAACAAAAAGGCCACTTGAGTTTCAGATTATCTAACTAAAATGTAGAAGAAGCATAAATTGTTCTCAAAAGTTACTAAAGGTGCTGGGGACGAAGCTCTGTGGTAGAGTGTTTCCCTAGGATGTGCAAGGCTCTGGGTTCAATTCCTAACATCACAAAAACAAGTTATAAGGTAAATATCTGAGAATTAAGTTAATTCAATTTCATTTTAAAAAAGAGCTATTTTATTCATTGTATTAAAACATATAATAAAAAAGGGATCCATTTTTAAGAAGACACAAACAATGATTCCTGAACTCTACCAAGATATTTCAGAGAGGCCAACTAATGCTCATTTGTGACCAATAACCAATAATAGCATAAACTTTCAATTATTTAAAGGATTCTTACCTGGTTACAACCTGATGTGTATAAGCTCTATTGGGGCTCCCAAACGATTTGGCCAGGCCAAAATCTGCCAGTTTTAGAACTCCATTTTCATCTAGCAACAAATTGTTTGGTTTCAGATCCTATATCATGGAGGTTTTAAACAAACAAATAAGCAGGGTTGGGAAGAATACCATAGTGATATATTTAGTTGGCTTATAAACATAGAAAACAGGGTAATTCTCAAATTTTAAACAAATGTCAATTTTTTTTCCACAAATGTAAAGTCCCAAAGCAAAGTAAGATTTAATATTATATTACTTAGTGAGATTTTGGGTAAGGTATTTAATTTGACTAAGCAACCAATTTAACTAATTCACAGAGTAACTGTGAAGACTAAATTTAATATTTTCTGTAAAGGGTCTAGTGGAATCACTGGTTCATAGTAAGCACCCAATAAATCATTGCAATTGTGAATTTAATAACAATAATACATGTGAACTTTAGAAAATAAAAACATTAAACATTTAGAAAAAAACTGAAGAACATATTTTCCAAAATCTATGCAAAAGAGCTACGAGTAATAACCTAAAAAAGATCCAAATTTAAGATAAGAATATGTAATTTTTAACTACTAGTTCCTATGTACCCAAGAACATCTATCTAGATAATTTTTTTCTTTTTTTGAGACAAAAAAAAACCCCAGGAAATTTTATTTTCAAGTGAACTTAGCCATAGGAAATAGTTTCTTTACAGCTATCCTGGTAGTACATTTCCTGGTCCCTCATTGAAATTTCTTGAGAAATAAACTCATTATGCTTCAGTTTTTCTGTTTACAAAATGAGGACAAGCATTTTGACACTAGGAGTACATTATAAATAACAATTACTTATATAGAACTTTAATGATTACAGCAGAAAAATGAAGAATATATAACACAAATAATGATACCTTTAAAAGAGAAACAGACAAAAACAAAGGGACACAAAATTTCTCTTATTACTCTCTACCTTTTATAGCAGGTGGAGAAGCATATACATAATATTGATCACATTGAGACACAAAGCTATATTTAGGACATTCCCAATGATGGTTTTCATTTTTTTCCCCCCTTTTCAGAATTTAGGCTTTATAATGTTTTGCACTGAAAAATTTTTTTCCTGATTTGAAAAGAATTTGATATCCAAAAGATGTTTTTAGTTAATGTGATTTAAATATGAAGTATATAACCTTACACTTAATGGATTACTTTCTAAATTTGAGGGAAAAGCCAAGGACTTTTTTTTTGTTATCCTCTACCAGTTCTGCATCCACAATTCAACCAACCAATAATCAGTTACTATATAGTTAGACCTTTGTATGTACTATTTACTTATAAATACCTAATAAATGCTATGTAATCTAGAGATGACTTAAAGTATACATAAGGATTACATAGGTTATATGCAAATACTACTCCATTTTATAGAAGGGATTTGGGTACCCCTGGATTTTAGTATCCATGGGATTTTAACTTTTTTTTTTAATACAATGCCTTTATTTTTATGTGGTAGCTGAGGATCAAACCTGGGTCCTGCCTATGCTAGGCAAGCGCTCTACCAATGAGCCACAATCCCAGCCCTATCCATGGGAATTTTGATAATAGTCCCCCATGGATACTGAGGGATGACTTTATTTATTTTTACATGGTGCTGAGAATAGAACCCTGTGCCTCACCCATGCTAGGCAAGCACTCTAAGCTACAGCCTAGCCATGACTTTGGGTTTTGGGGTTTTTTTTTTTTTTTTGTAGTGCTGGGGATTAAACCCGGGGCCTGTGCATGTGAGGCAAGCACTCTACCAACTGAGCTATGTCCACAGCCCCTGACTTGGTTATTCTTGTCTCTTTTCTCCTTACAAATACTTACATTTCAGCATATCTGCTGCCACAGAGTCTCTGTCTCCAAGGCCACTCTTTCTTGCTTGCTTTTTCTCAGTTATTTATTTATTCATCTTGCTATTACTATACCAAGGGCTCTGCCACTCAGTTCTAAAAGGCTAGGAAGTCTAAGGTTAAGGGTCCACATCTGGTGAGAGCCTTCTTGCTGGTGGGAACTCTCTCCGAGTCTCTGTGGATTGCAGGGCATCACATGGTGAGCCCATCCTACCTAGATAAATCATCAGCGAATGTTCCAACAGCTAAATGTTCCTAAAAATGATTCAGTTTCATAACTTATATAAATTTTAGAGCCACTAGAAATATGATTCTTAAAAGGCATTTTAGCATTGTATAAATTAATCCAGACTCTCACTATGTTTTTCCCTTTAACAGTATAGCACAAAGAATACTAGACTTAAAGCCCAAAGACATAAGTTCTAACATCCCATCAGTTATCAGCTGCTGACCCTAAAAAAAAAAAAAAAAAAAAAACTTAGGTAATTTAGCAATCTAGCTCTTCATCTAAAAAAAAAATAAAATGTACTGGATCTCTTCCAATCCTAAACTTCACATAGAAATTTGAAGTACACACAGCACCATTTGCCACAATTGAAGGAACACATAGTGGAAGAAGCTGGAATAAAATGGTTCAGCTATATCTTTATTTTGTGCAACAATTTACACATTCAGACCATTATACACCAAAATGTACACATAAAACTTGACCAATTTAAAGAAACAATATTAAAAACCTTACCCTATGTAGAATCCAGTGTTGATGTAAATATTCTAACCCTTGAAGAGTCATCAACATATAGGCTTTAATATGTGATGGTGTCAGCACAAGACTATTATCCTTTATTATAACCTATAAAGCAGATATACATACAGGCACATGTCATCATTCCAAATGACCTCTACCATATAAAAAAATTACAGAATTAAAATGATTACATCCATATAGAATAGTCTCCAAGACAGATTATCCAAATCTCCTTTGAAGGTACTGTCAGAATTTCTAGTTAGATGATTAAAGATCATCTCTAGTTAGGTAAGAAAATAATGCTTCATATGCTATAATTTTGTATAAAAGGGGCAGTCAGCTATGATTTTTGCTTGATCTTTCTTCTGTATTCAGTAGTGCTTTAGGACACCGCCTCTTCCCAGCTTAGTCCATATGGCTAAGCAAATACTGACTCTCCCCCACCATCTGAGGCATTCAGAGGCAGGCACTTGATGCAGTCATGGTTATTACCACACTGCAGCCTCCTGGCCAAGAGACTGTCTGCCTCAGGGAAGGATGCATGATCTAAGACTAACCAATCAACCAAGCGAAGTACTTATTTATGCTAAAATCAAAGAGAACAAAGCCCAAAGGTAAAGAGGGAAAGAAAAAGGTAAAGAAAGATAGAGGCAGATCTCATGAAAATCAATGGGAGATCCAGAGAGAAAGGGATCAAGAGGAGAGAGGTGGAGAGGGAGGGAGAGGAAAAGTGCTGAGGAGTGATATTGGCCAAATTATATTGTTTTATTGTGTATTATGTGTATGTATGTATATGGAACAACAAATTTCATCAGCATGTACAACTATAATGCATCAATTAAGAAAAATGAGTTAAAAAAATAGAGAGGCAGGAAAGGGCAGGGGGAACAAAAGCACTTTCTTACTTCAGGGATTATTAGATTCTAAGGATATAAGCTGACTGCCTGAACCTCCATTATTAAGTATGCCAAAAAATGAAGAAAACTGAGGGAAAAAAAGACAATTGAAACAATGTAAAACTCGGTTCAGATGGCATTATTTGCAAGCTGTGCCAAAAGTCAGTTTATTCCTATATTTATCAGTTCCTTTTTATTCCTGGGTAGTGTTCCATTACATACGCTACAACAAACTGTACATTCACTAGATGGACACTGGATTTGTTTCTAGTTTTGTGATTAGGAATAAAGCTAAATATTTGTGCACCAAGTAATTTCTGTGTTGGCAATGTATATGTTTCTCTTACATACATAGCAGTGGTACTGCTAAATAACAATTAGTTAGCAGTAGCAATCACAATATTAGTGACATTTATGACAGAAAGATCTATCACCACAGGCTATACTTTATTGTCACCAGTTTGTATATATATATATATTTTTTTTATATTTTTTTAGTTGTAGATGGACACACCTACAGTGATAGAGCCCCAACCACACCAGTTTGTATATTCAGTGTTTCTTTTACTACTTGATACTGTTATATGAAATCCTTTTTTTTCTTTTGACTTGTTTAGTAAATATGTATTTAACTACATAAGAAATTACCAAACTGTTTCCAGTTTCTTGAATAGTTTCTTAACTATTATTATTTACATTCTCACCAATAGTGTATGAAAATTCCAGTTCTTCTATATCCTTGGTTTATCAGTATTTTGAGATTCCACTATGATTAATGAAAATCATATGAGATTTTATATATTTTTTAAAAAATTTGGCTTTCAAAAATGTCTTTAATCTGAAAATATTGGGGGAAAGCTCAAAATTATCATAGGTTTAATGCTAATTTCTCTAAAAACAATGTAATAATCTATAGGGAAATTACTAGACAAAAATAACTAATGAAATCCAAATTTCTGCACTTAGCACTGTGAAAACAACCAACCATAAGAACTGAGAGATCCTTTTGATTTCAAAAGTCCATCTATAGTTCAATAAAATTAAGCATTTTTTAAAATACTAGTCTATTTTTTTTAACATAGACAATATCTTTATTTTGTTTATTTATTTTTTTATGTGGTGCTGAGGATCGAACCCGGTGCCTTATACGTGCGAGGCAAACACTCTGCACTGAGCCACAACCCCACTCCTCTAGTCTATTAATGGTCTAACAAACATTTAGGTTCTTCTTGGATAAACTGGAGAAAAATATTCTCTAAGAATTTTAATCTTACCTCTAGATCAGTTTCCATAAAATCAAAAACAAGGCTAATATTTGATTTATGTCCAAAAGCATCAAGGAGCTATAAGCAAAAAAATTTAAAAGTTAAAATGTGATTCTCTATTTCATATACTTGTATGACAGTATTATACTAACTAAGGTAATTTTTTTAAAATCCTGTAAAGCTCAAATTATTTTATTAAATTTAACATTTGTCCTTTTGTGAATAGTATTAAAGGAATTAGTATTTTTTTAAATTTTTTTTAAGTTGTCAATAGACCTTTATTTTATTTATTGAGACGCGGTGCTGAGAATCAAACCCAGTGCCTCACACATGCTAGGCAAGCACTCCGCCACTGAGCCACAACTCCAGCCCCTAAAGGAATTAGTATTTTGAGAAACAAAAATATTAAACTATTTTTTTAATTTATATTTTACTTTTTAAAATATTTTTTAGTTATACATGGATGCAGTATCTTTGTTTAATTACTTTTATGTGGTGCTGAGGATTGAACCCAATACCTCACACATGGAAGGCAAGCACTCTACCACGGAGCCACACCCCAGTTGCTTATGTTTTTCTTTTTACATTGTTGGGGATTGAACCTTACACCTTGCACATGCTAGGCAAATACTCTACCTCTGAGCTACACTTGAGTCCCTAAACTACTTTTGTAAAAAACTATTAAATACTTAAAAGCTTTCCTCCTAGATTGGGGGAGTTAATAAGAATAAATTAATGAAAACTATACCTCAGTCACCAATTAAAAAAAAAAATTCCCGGGCTGGGGATGTGGCTCAAGTGGTAGCGCGCTAGCCTGAGCCTGGCATGCATACGGCCCAGTTCCATCCTCAGCACCGCATACAAACAAAGATGTTGTGTCTGCCGAAAACTAAAAAATAAATAAATAAATAAAAAATTCTCTTTAAAAAAAAAAAAAATTCCCAAGCAGAATGCTTAAAAACAAAAAATCCATGCCAAGTACAGTGGCATGTGCTGCATTCCCAGCTCTCAAGAGGCAGAGGCAGGAGGATCACTTGAGTCCAGGGGTTTAAGACCAGCCTTGAAACATATGAGACCAATCTTTTTTTTTTTTTTTTTAAATTTTTTTTTTAATATTTATTTTTTAGTTTTCAGCGGACACAACATCTTTGTTTGTATGTGGTGCTGAGGATCGAACCCGGGCCGCACGGATGCCAGGCGAGCGCGCTACCGCTTGAGCCACATCCCCAGCCCATATGAGACTAATCTTAAAAACATTAATAATAATCCTCTAGGGGGATATGATGTACTGGTAGAGCAGTTGCCTAGCATGTGCCAAGTTCCTTCAATCTCTATTCTACAAAAAAAGAAAGAAAGAAAAAAAGAGGGGGAAAAAAATCCTTGAAATAGCAGTAGCTACCATTAAGTAAATGAGTACATTCTCCACGGCAGGCACTAATCCCAATACATGTATTCAAATAGGTAGTCTTGCAACAAACTTATCAGGTAGGGCCTATACATTAGTATTAGTATTAGTATTTTGCAGTGCTGGGAATCAAACCCAGAGCCTCAGACATGCTACGCAAGTTGTCTTCCATTAAGGTATAGTCCCAGCCCAGAATGTGGTTTAAAAGAAACTTGTTAAAGGTCTTACACAGGACAAATAAAGGGTTTTGAATGCACTATGCTAGTGCTCTTTAGAATTCAAAATGATTTCTGGCAAAATGAACCTATGTCAACATTTTTTTTGACATTTGATTTATTTTATCAGTAGTATGATTTTTAAGAAATATCCTATTCAATTAGGATAGAAAACACATTTCAAACAGATAAACTTTAAAGCTTGTTTCAAGTCTCATCTAGAACAACTCATCTTACTAATCCTTCAATCAAAATCAATATCTGGGGCTGGGAACATAGCTCATTTTGTAGAGTACTTGCCTTGCATGCACAAGGCCCTGGGTTCAATCCCCAGTACCACCAAAAAAAAAAAAAAGAAAAAAAGAAAAAAAAATCAATATCTACCATATTAAAAAAGGGCAGGGTCCCAAATATTAAATAACTCAGATCATACTCACACCAATTATATTTGGATGACTTAGCTCCTGTAATAATTTTATCTCTCTTAGGGCTGTTCTATTTATACCTATGGAAAAAGGCAAAGCAAAAAATGAACAATGATTCTCAAATCTCCAACCATCCTACAAATATGTTTTTTAAGAAAGGAGGGTCATCTCAGAAAATAGAAACAAACATTACACAGAAGAATAAAGGCAATTCTGACAAATTTTATGACAAATCAATTTTTATTATTTTTAAATTTTTTTTAGTTTTTGATGGAACTTTATTTCATTTATCTGTTTTTATATGTAGTGCCGAGAATCAAACCCAGTGCCTCACACATGCTAGTACACAAGCGCTCTACCACTGAGCCACAACCCCAGCCTTGAGTTTTACTTTTAAAGTTGCTTGGAGGAAGATGCCCGGCACTCGCCAAGCCAGACCGAAGGAGGAAGTCTGGCCCCGCCCCAAGGAAGCCCATCAACCCTTAAAACCCATCAAAAGGGGTGTGGCTACCAGCACGGTTCTGCGGCTAATCCAGGTACCCGGTTTCCAACTCCCCATCCTTAGCTGCGATAACTCAAAATATTTCCCACAAGCTTTTGTGGGTTGTAGCTATCAACGCAAAACAACAACTGTACAGGCACCTGGTTTCTACCTCAGAGACTAGAGCAGGGAAGATACAGGTGGAAGCTCATTTCCTTTCACACTGGCTATGCCCACCACCCTGAATACAGAGGCTCAAGCTAGGAATAGACAACGCCACCTACTGGAAGCAAGGAAAACAGTGTTCTGAGAGACTTTCTCTTTCTTTCTCTCTGCTCTCTCTTCCACAACTTCAGCATATGTGAAACCAAGAACTGTGCATGAACAACCGAATTACCAAAGTAATATAATATAGAGGAATTGCATATACCCCACCTTCCCCCCATTTTTTTCTTTATTTCTATCTTACTTTCCTTTTCCTTCTCTTACTTCTCTTTTCTTCCTTGTGATTTTTTTTCATTCGTATTCTCTCTATCCCACTTTCAATCTCCTAACCTTTGCTATCTATACATAGGGTAACTATCTAAATTCAGATAGGAGGTTGAGTCTATACATTCTTCCATAAATTACCAGTCTATTGGTTAGAGTTCTCCAAAGGTGCTATGTTAGTTAACCTCATACCCTCACTCCTTTCCCTCTAAGTATAACATCCTTCGTCTGAAATTAAGTTTTCTATATGCCACCAGATATGGTACGCCTTTTATGAAACTAATGAATATATTCTTAATTAATAATTAAAACCAATATCTATAGTCTTAGAATCTAACTATAAATGTATTAATAATGAAAACTTGTGCTTAGATAATGTACTATTGATATTGGGAACTGTTAACATTGTCTTTCTCCGCAAAAGAGGGATTTTGGAGCTATACAAGAACGATACAAATATATAAGGGGAAAAATATTAGCACAACAGTTTCACAAAGCTAGAAAGAATCATGAGCAGATCATGGAGTCTCAAGGAAGACATTATACAGCAAATTCAGACAATGAAAAATCACTTTGACAATGAATTACATAAACAAATCCAAGAAGCAAAAGATCAACTCTATAGGGAAATAGAGGATATAAAAAACAAACAAACAGAAATCCTGGAAATGCAGGAAACAATAAACCAAATTAAAAACTCAAATGAGAGTATTACCAGCAGAATAGAACACTTAGAAGATAGAACTTCAGACAACCAAGACAAAGTTTTTCAACTTGAAAAGAACATGGACAGCTCAGCGAGAATGTTAAGAAATCATGAACAGAACATCCAAGAATTATGGGATAACATCAAGAAACCAAACCTAAGAGTTATTGGGATAAAAGAGGGTATAGAGGTCCAAACCAAGGGAATGAGCAATCTATTCAATGAAATAATACTAGAAAACTTCCCAGACTTAAAGAATGAAAAAGAAAAGCCTACAGGACACCGAATGTACAAAATCATAAGAGATCCACACCAAGACACATTATAATGAAGATGCCCAACATACAAAATAAGGAGAGAATCTTAAAAGCCACAAGAGAGAGGAAGCAGATTACATTTAGGGGTAAACCGATCAGGATAACTGCTGATCTTTAAACACAGACTCTGAAAGCTAGAAGATCCTGGAACAACATATTTCAAACGCTGAAAGAAAAAGGGTTCCAACCAAGAACCATGTATCCAGCGAAATTAAGCTTCAGGATTGAAGATGAAATAAAAATCTTCCACGACAAACAAAAGTTAAAAGAATTTGCAACTAGAAAACCAGCTCTTCAAAACATCCTTGGCAAAACATTACAGGAAGAAGAAATGAAAAATAACAATGAAAACCAACAGCAGGAGGTAGTACAGTAAAGGAAAAACTAAGCAAAGAGAAAAACAAATCATGTTAAGTAAAAAACAAATATGGCTGGAAATACAAACCATATCTCAATAGTAATCCTAAATGTTAATGACATAAATGCACCAATCAAAAGACATAGGCTAGTAGAATGCATTAAAAAAAAAAGATCCAACAATATGCTGCCTACAGGAGACTCATCTGATAGGAAAAGACATACATAGACTGAAGTTAAAAGTTGGGAAAAATCACATCACTCATATGGACCCCAGAAGCAAGCGGGGTGTCCATACTTGTATCAAATAAAATAGACTTCCAGCCAAAGTTAATTAAAAGGGATAAACAAGGACACTACATACTGCTCAAGGAAACCATACACCAACAAGACTTGACGATCATTAATATATATGCCCCAAACAATGGTGCAGCTACGTTCATCAAACAAACTCTTCTCAAGTTCAAGAGTCTAATAGACCACAACACAATAATCATGGGAGATCTTAACACACCTCTCTCACCACTGGACAGATCTTCCAAACAAAAGTTGAATAAAGAAACCACAGAGCTCAATAATACAATTAATAGTTTAGACTTAATTGATATATACAGAGTATACCACCCAACATCAAGCGGATACACTTTCTTCTCAGCAGCACATGGATCCTTCTCAAAAATAGACCATATATTATGTCACAGGGCAAATCTTAGTAATTACAAAGGAGTTGAGATACTACCATGCATTTTATCTGATCATACTGGAATGACATTGGAAATCAATAATAAAATGAGAAAGGAAAAATCCTACATCACATGAAGATTAAACAATATGCTACTGAATGAACAAAGGGTTACAGAAGACATCAAAGAGGAAATTAAAAAATTTGTAGAGGTAAACGAAAACTCAGACACAACATATCGAAATCTCTGGGACACTATGAAAG